CACATACTTTCAACCCATCACATGATGGATTGAAGACCAGAATTCATGTTGTTTTTGCTAGATGCTGTTAAACCACAGATCAAAAAGTCCTAAACTTTCATATTTTATTCTTACTCAAATTTGCTGAATGTCACTGTATTAAGAGCTAATCTATCTGGTTCAATCACATAATGTATTTTTCCACATTCAAGTTTTGTATTCTTACATATTTGGTAAGCATTCACACTAGATCGTCATTTGAGCTGCAGATAAAATTTTTTTCAAGTGTGAATGAAAAGGAAGGCATACAAGCACTACCAATCACTTTACCTAACATCAGTTTATTAGATAGTGCTTAACTTGAAACAAAAATCTGTGAACAATACTATCAACATTCTCCAAAAAAAGCTCTATGAAAATCTTATATTATATTACAGTTCAAAAATTATAAGCAAAATACCACTAGATCACCATTGTGATAAATACTTAAAAAGAATTTGATTAAAAATTGATGGCTATTACAAAACTGACTTGGATGTTCTAGACTATACAAGATAAGGAGATTTGTATATATGGATAAAATGTATTGCTAGATAAAATTTATAGGTAATATAGTTTTCTACTTGTGACATCTCAAAGAATCAAAGGAAAAAATAATTAGAACTAAAAAGAATTCACTTAGATAATTAGTTTAAAAAATAAATATAAAAATCATAACTTTCCCACATATCTTCAATAACTAAACGAAGTGTGATTTCTACCAATATGGATAAATGAAAACATGCATTTAAATGTCTCTCTCATCCATGAAACTCTCAAAAACAACAAAAAGAACAGCAAAAATTAAACACGTTTTTGCTGAAACTCTATTTAAACTGCAACCATAATGTATATGAAATTAAGTTACCAAGTGCCGTGAAGATTGGACCAAAATGTGAGAATACTAAGAGAGGATGCCTGCCCCTGGAGATCTTGGAAAGAGCTGGTAGACTGGTGTTTTCCAAAATAGTTATTCACACTGAGATGCAAAACTCCTTGTTTTAAAACAAAAAGATATAGGTATAGAAGCTGAAAGCAGAACTTTCTCATAATCATATTTGTCAACACAAAATAGGAGAGAAGGCAAGACTGAAGGTGATAGTGAGCAGATGCATCATTACTTCAAGATTGAACCTAAGGATGCGGCAAAGTGAAGAGAAAACTCTGGATGACTAATTTCCCTGCAGCCCTCATCAGTTGAAAATATGTAAAAGCTATGTTACACACAAACCACTCTATCAAACAGTAAATAAGTGAATGTTTACCTTAGCCCAAAGCACTGCTGGCCCATCTATTTATATTCTCCACTTGCAAATAGCTGGTCTTGGAGGAACTCCTCTCAAAGATAAGTAGTAATAAAAAAGATCCAACAGAGAATTTATACTAATATTGCAAGAAAAGGCAAAATAGATATGAAAATTACAGATGAGATTACACAACTGAAAAATTTTACTACGAAGCAGATAAAATTAACTAGAGGTCTCTAGTCAAGAGTCATGCAACTTATTTATTTTCTCAGTTGGCAAATAAAAATTGTAGACATTTATGTTATACAACATGTTGTTTAGAAATATGAATACATTGTGGAATGGCTAAATTGAGCTAATTAACATATGCCTTACCTTACATATCATTTTTTTGTGGTGAGAACACTTTAAATCTACTCTCAGCAATTTTCAAGAATACAGTACATTGTTATTAATTATAGTCACCACATTGCAAAATAGATCTCTTGAACTTATTTCTCCTGTTTAACTGAAATTTTGTATCCTTAACCAACATCTCTCCGTGCTTCATCCCCTGGTAACCACCATTCTACTCTTTACTATAAGATCTAGGTCCACATGTAAGTGTCTTTCTGTGCCTGGCTTATTTCATTTAGCATAATGTCCTCCAGGTTCATCAATGTTGTCACAAGTGACAGGATTTCCTTAGGCTGAATGTATTCCATTGTGTATATATACAACATTTTTTCTAATACAGATTTAGGCAATATGGCTAGAAATCTTTTGAATTTATGGGTTAAAGGTAAGTTTAGTGGGAAGACTTTATAATAATAGTCTTGGCAATAGATGGTAAGCAGAAATTGCAACTATATTTTGCATACAGTCCACTTAAAGTTATAAATCTTGTGCTTAATTAAAAGCTTGAAAATACATGGATTAGAGGAAACTATGGAAAATTCCATAAAATGACAAAATGAAATATTAGCAATGAAAGGTACTGCAAAAGAGAAGTTTTGTTGATTCATGATTTTAATGTTTATCTGGTCATCTTATCCAGAAGTCTCTAATCTTCCTCATCTTTGGAAAATCCTTCTCTCTTAAATATTGCCTTCGCACAAATCCCAGTATATTTGAATAAAAATGCAATGCTATGCCTAAAATTAGGGGGGCACTTTGTGGGATAAATTCATAGATGTCAGTGGCAGTATAAATAGCAAAATGGGAAAAAGGAAGCTAAAAATCTGAGAGGTGGGTGAGGAAACAGTCATTTTTGTGCGATTTTCCATGCTGATCCTCTGTATGAGTTTTTCCTTTTCCTCATGCCCTAATCTACACCCATATGTACAGCTCAGAATTTCTAAACCTGGTATAATTGGAGGCCTGACTGCAGGTCTAAAAGTAAGAGGCTTTCCAAAAGTTGGGTACATCTCTCCAGGTATATTTACTCTGTGTGAATGGAAAAGTAGAAAGAATAAACTTTCATCTCAAAGCAGTGTATTAGTCTGTTTGTGTTGCTTTTAACAAAATATATAGAACTGGGTATTTTATAAAGAAAATGAAATTTATTGCTTACAGTTTCAGAGGCTAGGAAGTCCAAAGTCCAGGGAACACATCTGGTGAGGGTCTTGGTGGTGGCAACAGTGACCCTGGGGTCTCACATTGCAAGATGGTGGAAGCAGAGAGAGAAAAACTCTTTGTGGTCTTTCCTTCTAAAGCCCTCAGAACCATGTCCCTGGCCACCATTATTAATCCATTCACTACGGCATGGTCCTACAATCTAATCACCTCTTCAAGGCCCCACCTTTCAATTACCATGATAGGATTTTCCACCCTCAACATTTACAAGTGGGGATTAAGCTTTAATGAGATTGGGGGGCATCCAATCTACAGCAAGCAGTTAGCTTGATTAGCTGCATTAAATTAAGATGAGGAAATGGAAATCCTAAACTTTGGCACTGAAGCAGATAACTAGTTTTGGTTTTGAAAATTGGTGAAGAATAAATTCAATTTTTATGAACTGTTATTTCATATCCTAGTGAGGTCTCTTAATGATCTGTACTTGTGATGCTACCTAATGGGCTAACATGTTTCCTGCTTTAATTTTATCTGACACTGGGTGTTAATACTCTTCTGGTTTCTTAATTCATAAAGTCAGGGGGCATACTACTTACATTGTCTTATCTTGCAGCCTGCCCTTTCTAGTTCCCTGGAAAAGATAAAGCATGGGTTTGTGATGTTCAGGGAAGGTCACTGGTTCTCAGCGAAACGCTGGAGTTACCAATCCCACTTTTAGTCTTGAGAAGGTTGGAGCTGCCCCTCTCCACACCATTTTAATTAGAAAAAATTTAAAAATTATATAAATATTCAAACATATCTAAAAGATGAGAGAATTGTGTAATTAACCCCCAGGCACTATCACTCAGCTTTAATAATTTTCAGTAATTTTAGGCAGTTTTCTGGCCAGAAAATATAATGTCCTAAAGCTTCATTACTTGATCCGTGTTCAGTTTTGCCTTTTAAATTTTGATTCTTAGAGCTTTGAACACTGCAATTGTATTAAAAGAGGGATTTGAGTGAAGGATTTAATGTTGAATAGTCAATTAAATCAGTGTCTTTTCAGCTCGCCTCCCTCTCAGGGTAAGCACCGGTTGTTGGGTGGTACGCGGAATTTGGCTGTATTTCTTGTGTATCAGCGATGTTTCTCATAGAACTAACTGATCACTGTCCAGATTTATGTGCAGAAGACTGGATTAAAAGCGAAACTGGAGAAAGTATGGGCATCTAGCTTATTCCTACCTTGCCTCATTGCTGTATTCTAAATATTTACAGAGAATAAATTTACGAAGAGTAGTTTTCTGGCCCCACTCTGGAGAGTATCTCAGTACTTTCTTCCCCCTCTTCTTCTTCGCATGTCCTCTTGGGGAACTGGTTGTCAAGTCTTTGAATTTCTGGTTCTTGGTATTGACTGGCTTATGACCTCTTCTTTCACCCAGACCGTCAACGGCCGCTTGCAAAGCATTGCCAGCATGGTCTCTTGGGGAAGGAGAAACTGTTGTCCCGCACCTCCCCCCAAACAACAACAAAAACCCCCCAAAACCAACCAAACAAAACCCCCCAAAACCAAAATAAATAAATAAATAAAAACGAAAAAGTAGCACCGTTAGCCTTGTGCTCGCTGGCTTTTGGCTCTTGGGATATGTGAGGATGCCATGTGGTCTTTCCTTCTAAAGCCCTCAGAACCATGTCCCTGGCCACCATTATTAATCCATTCACTACGGCATGGTCCTACAATCTAATCACCTCTTCAAGGCCCCACCTTTCAATTACCATGATAGGATTTTCCACCCTCAACATTTACAAGTGGGGATTAAGCTTTAATGAGATTGGGGGGCATCCAATCTACAGCAAGCAGTTAGCTTGATTAGCTGCATTAAATTAAGATGAGGAAATGGAAATCCTAAACTTTGGCACTGAAGCAGATAACTAGTTTTGGTTTTGAAAATTGGTGAAGAATAAATTCAATTTTTATGAACTGTTATTTCATATCCTAGTGAGGTCTCTTAATGATCTGTACTTGTGATGCTACCTAATGGGCTAACATGTTTCCTGCTTTAATTTTATCTGACACTGGGTGTTAATACTCTTCTGGTTTCTTAATTCATAAAGTCAGGGGGCATACTACTTACATTGTCTTATCTTGCAGCCTGCCCTTTCTAGTTCCCTGGAAAAGATAAAGAATGGGTTTGTGATGTTCAGGGAAGGTCACTGGTTCTCAGCGAAACGCTGGAGTTACCAATCCCACTTTTAGTCTTGAGAAGGTTGGAGCTGCCCCTCTCCACACCATGGCGCCCGCAGCCGGAGCTGGGGGCGAGATCCCAGCCCGCCGCGACCGGAGACGCCGCTTCCCCAGCCCGGGAGGTTTCCCTCGTGTCTGCGCCCCTAGGCGGCGCTGCGCTCCTCCGCACCGGGCCTGCTCCGCTTTCCCAGACGGCTGCCAAGGCTCCAGTCTAGCAAACCTAGCTCTCGGCCGCCAGTCCGGGGTAATTCCGGGTATTCCGGAGGCGGAACGTCAGCAGTCGCTGAACCTCCAGCTCGCAGCGGAGGCGGCCCGCCGGAGCTTGCTCTTCACCGCGGCTTGTGCCCTCGGGAGTCCGGAGTATGGTCCCAGGTCGCTGGTGGTGGAGCGCGGACGCCGAGAGAGACTATGGTGGGCTGGGGGGTGGCAGTTCTGTGCCTGTGGGTGTCCTGCGGCGCTGCCGCCGAACAGCTGGAGTACTTAGTGTTGGAGGAGACGGAGCGGGGCGTAGCCGTAGGCAATGTTGCCGCGGACTTGAAGCTGCCCGCGGCCGCTCTGTCCTTGAGGAACTTTCGCTTCCTTTCCAGCCACGGCGAGCTCTACTTCGGGGTGGACCTGGCCAGCGGTAGTTTGGTGGTCCGAGAAGCGGCGGACCGCGAGCAACTGTGCGGAACCAAAGCTGCCTGCGTCTTGACCTATGAGCTAGTCCTCGAGGACCCGCTGGAACTGCATAAGATACACGGTCACGTCCTGGACGCCAATGACAACTCACCTCTCTTCCCTGCCGGTGACGTGCAGCTGCACATCCCGGAGTTTCTGGCGCCTGGAGCCCGATTTACTCTCCCTAATGCTCAAGATACCGACGAGGGAAGCCACGGAGTACTAAGCTACAGCCTGAGCCCCAGCCAGCACTTTCGCTTGGACATGGGGTCACGGGTAGACGGCAGTGAATACCCAGAGTTGGTGCTGGAGAAAGCGCTGGATCGCGAGCAGCGCGCCACCCACCTGCTGGTGCTCACGGCTCGGGACGGTGGGCTGCCCGCGCGTTCCGGAGACGCACAAGTCACCATCATCGTGGTGGACACAAACAACACGCCTGTATTCGAGCGCTCCGTATACCGCACGAAGGTACCGGAGACTGCACCCAATGGGACTGTGTTATTCCGTGTTCAGGCCTCAGATCCGGATGAAGGCTCCAATGGGGAAGTCCGATACTTCTTAAGCAACAGCACGCAAGCAGAGCTGCGACACCGCTTTCGCGTGCACCCTGAAAGCGGGGAGGTGCTGGTAGCTGCTTCACTAGGACCGCCTGAAACGCTGTTGGAGGCGTACATCGAGGCGAGGGACGAAGGCGCCTTCGGTCTAGCTAGCACCGCTAAGCTGCTGGTGGAGGTGACTGATGTAAACGATCATGCCCCTGAGGTGAACTTCATGACTCTCTCCAGCCCAGTACCTGAGGACGCCATCCCTGGCACAGTGATTGCTCTCCTCAGTGTAAAGGATGAGGACCTTGGTCCCAATGGTAGGGTAACTTGTAGCATGTCCAGCAGAGGCCCTTTTCAGTTGAAGGCTTCCTTTGACAACTACTACAGTCTGCTAACAGATGGGCCTCTAGACCGGGAGCAGATCAGCGAATACCAGGTTCTGATCACTGCCTCAGATGGTGGCTCGCCCCCACTTAGCACTCGAAGGACACTCACTGTGTCAGTTGCTGATGTGAACGACAATACACCAAGCTTTCTTCAAGCACAACAGGAACTTTTTGTGGCTGAAAACAATAACCCTGGGACCTCTCTAGGCCGCGTGGTTGCCCAGGACCCGGACCTGGGGAAGAATGGCCTTGTCTTTTATGATCTGTTGGATATTACCTCTGACGGGCCGCCAGCCTCTAGCTTGGTGGCAGTGGAATCATCCAGTGGGGCTATCACTGCCAAAACTTCCTTTGACTTTGAGCGGTTCAGGGGATTTCGCTTCCAGGTGGAAGGCCAGGATGGAGGCATTCCTCCCAGAAGTGCAACAGTGACAGTAAACTTGTTTGTGGTAGATAGGAACGACAATGCTCCAGTCATCTTGTTTCCCTTGCCTAGAAATGGCTCTGTTCCAGTAGAAATTGTGCCCCGCTCTGCCAGAACTGGACATTTGGTCACAAAAGTGGTAGCAGAGGATGCAGACAGTGGTTCCAATGCCTGGCTGTCCTATCACATCTCGCAGGCTTCTGACTTTAGCCTTTTCAGAATTTCAGCTAGTGTGGGAGAGCTCCGTACTGCTCGCTTAGTTCTTCCCACTGATGCAGTTAAGCAGAAGGTGGTGGTAATGGTTCAGGACCATGGAGATCCACCACTCTCCTCTGTCACTCTGGGAGTGCTATTAAGCAACTCTGCCCCTCAGGTCCTTCCGGACTTTGAAGATATCTGGGAGCCAGGAGGGCAGCTTTCTGCCCATAACTTGTATTTAGTAATTGCCCTGGCCTGTATTTCCTTTTTATTTTGGGGGTGCTTACTTTTCTTCGTGTGGATCCAGTTGAGCCAGAGCCCAGATTGTCACTGTCAGAGCTGCTGTCGCTCTCCAGAGGATCTGAGGTGTGAAAGGAAGATAGTTTCAAATCCTTGCATGACATCAGCCACAATAGATGTCACTACAATTGAGAGACTTTCTCAGACTTATCTCTATCGGACCTCTCTGAGACTTAGTTCTGATAATAACAGTTTGCTTTTGTGTGGGGAGTACAATGCTGCTGACCTGAGAAATCTGGTCACTGGGGTAGGACTGAATTTGCCAATATCCTGTATTCAGATTCGGAATAGGAAAGGGGATCACACATGTCAATGCCATGGTAAGCAAACTTTAAGGGATTTTTTTTTTTTTTTTGACTGAGATATGGCTGCTAAGGGTAGGACTGAATTTGCCAATATCCTGTATTCAGATTCGGAATAGGAAAGGGGATCACACACATGTCAATGCCATGGTAAGCAAACTTTAAGGGATTTTTTTTTTTGACTGGGAGATGGCTGCTAGCCCTGTTCTGAAATGTTTCTTAGATGAACATTTGGCAACATTTAATCAGTTGAATGGAATGCTCTTTCTTAGCACTCTCTTGTGCTAAGAATTCTGGGAGTATAAAATTATTAGAAGATTGTCCTGGGACTCAAGGAGTTTGTTTGTTTGTTTCTGAGAAACAAAGGTAAAAAATTAAAACCTATTAAAAAACAATAAAAGTAATATATCATGAAGATCTAATATTAAAAATAATAAAGTACGTACGGGCGCGACACCGAGGGTTGTGATCTAAAATAATAAAGTACGTACGGGCGCGACACCAAGGGTTGCGATCCCGTTACCGGTCAGTAAAAAAGACAAAAAGGAAAATAATAATAAAGTACCAAAAATATTTCTTGAACAATGTATATTTTAAGGCAGTCTGATACCTAAAGTGAAGAATGAAAAGTATGTGAGCATCTGTGCATAATGTGAGCATAGTATCACAGAAGATGGAACATTTACCAAAACCATTACAATACATTATCAAAAGATGACAACTACAACTGATGTAAAAATAAATTGCAATGAGTGTTCCAAGAAGGGAGAGAGAGAACATTAGAGAACATCTGGGTGGGGCAGGGAGAATCAGAGAAGGGTTGTGATAGAAATGTCATTTGATTTGGCCCTTTAGTGATATACTGTTTAGTAAAATGTGTCATATTCTCCAGCCTATACTTTTCAGAATACCATTTTGGCAAAGCAGTCTTCTCTGAGAATGACACTCCAAATCATAGCTGATAACTCCACAGCAGTGGTTTTTAAGTACATAGAAATTATAGGCATGTCTCAGAACACCTATTTGTACTGATAGAAAGAAAATAATACTCTTGGGTATAGGACTTGACAGCATTTAATTTTGTGTTTTTATTGATGTATTTCACAAAGAAGAAAGATGAGTAATTTTTGTCAGAAACATTTGTATGTTCAAAGGTGCACTTACTATTCATAGTTTATTCAACTTGGACTTAATTTTCTTATTTTAGAAGCCAAATATACTTAGCAAATAAATAAATACCATATTTGAGAATAATGCACCTAATAAAAGTTACATGATCCATATACTTCAGTTTATTCCTAGTGGCCATTGTCATTACAAGACTTTTTGAATGGAGTCAGGAAAACATTTTTAAAAGCAATTCTACACCACTTCCAAGTTCTTATAGAAATTGTGGATACAAGAGAAGGAGGTGTGCAGAAATTAGGGAAGGAAAACCAAGCATCCCTTGTTTTACTATTCTAGGCAATAAGAGGAAAAATGTGTTATAAATTATTCTCCCTCAGATAATGATGTTAACTGCAAATAAAATAGATTTACATCCATTGTAATTTTGCATAGTTAATATTTTCATTATATAATAGAATCTGCAATATAAGATATGCTTAGTAAATGCTTCCTAAATGAACAAGTAAATAAATATGTGAATGTATGAATTGGATAGTAACACTGTTCAACATAGAAGAAAAAACTTTAACTTACTTTTCTATTTTACATGTGTATGTATGGTTAAGAGTTTAAAGATTGCTTTCAACTATATTGTTTCAATGAGTATTTTCTTCCTCATGATGTATAGTAATGAAACAACATAACAGAGGGATTTTCTGGCCCTACAGCTAGAATGAAAAACCTCAATGCTTATTCTGGGGCTAAATGTGAGTCCAGTTCTGAACATGACAAAGGTATTAATAGGAACACATCATTACATTGCGAAATTTGCAGTGAATGCTATTTAATAGGATCTCAGTTAATTTCAAGGGAGAAAACTGGTTTACTACAATGTTAATATTTAAGGTATTAAAGCAGTTAATATATGAGCACTTTTCCTATTTATCAAGAAAATTTACTCTTTCTTTTATTTCATTGCTTTCTGTAACAAAGAGAGATGAGAATAACAGTAATGGTTATGAAGTTTGGGAGTCAGGAATTGTTTGAGTAACACATTTTGACTAGACTAGAAAGAAAATATAAGTAAGGAATAGGAAGATCGATGAATCTGAAGTTTGAAGGAAAATCCACTATTTTAAAGCAAAAATATAGCTAATAACAGAGAAAAATGCCCCTGTTCCCCCCAATTTTTAAACTTATATGAGTGGTGAATAAAGTTAACAGACATACTATCCATATGTGCAGGAATGTTGTGCCATTCCATTCATCCAGCTGAGCAAACTTTTTCCATCATTGTGGATATTTCATTTTTTAGGTAGTCCTTTGGTCTAATAATTTTTGTGGGCTGGATATTTCCTTATAAATAAGTAAAGTATGACTTATAAAAACGTGAGTAAAATAACTTCTATAAAGCTGGGATATTCGTAGGCATTATTATTTCTTTCTTCCCGTTCGACTCCATATTGATCCAATCTTGATTCTTTAAAAGAATGTGTTTAATAGTATTATTCACTGCCTTAATAATAACAGGATTCTAGAAATAAAATATTTATTGCTTGAATATTATTAAACAAAAATCATTTTAAGGACATGAAATTTAACAATAATTATAACATGTGCCTGAGTCATATAGAATTATGTTGATGGATACATGTTTATATTTTGTAAATTCTAAGCTCTTTTCTCATTTTAGTTTATAGTGTACATTAATGTAGTTTTTAACATTAAAAATTGTCAGCTTAAAAAATTCAGAAAAACATGTATTTTTCTATACCTCTCCTATTGATAATATTTAACATATATTGTGCAACAACTAGACAACATGTATCTCGTGTCAGTTTTTTCTGTTAAGATTCTTCATGGGTAATTTAATTTTTTTAGGTTGGTATCTAAGATGGTACCTCTGAGATGTAAATTTCTACTTGCTGTTTAAAATTTATTGCCCTGGCAATTTTTTAAAGATGATATAAATGTAGCAAAAATGCATGAAACGCTTAGCATAGAACTGGTCTTATTAAATATTCCACTTGAATGTTATATGTAATTTGAACATATCGATCTTATATTAGTGTATTGTTGTGCAATTAAAGCAGTTTTTTTTTTTTTTTTTTGCTAGGATACATAGAATAAGGAGTACTTCCTTTTTGCAATGTCACTTGTTAACAGAGTGGTAGAATGTTTTTGGCATTCTAGGTGTTTTTATTTGTTAGATACGATCCTTGAGTAGACTTTCCCAGAGGCTAATTAGATGCTTGCTTATATGTATTTTAACTTTGAAGCTGATAACCACACTTATAAAAAAATTTAAAGTGCCATAGCCAAGGAAGCTTGCAAGACATGAAATATATTCAGATTTTTACAAAAAACCCATGGTGGACAGCACAACAGTATTTGTTGTATAATGGAGAACTTCAAACTAGTATAATGGAAAGAAAGAAAGGATTATAACATGAATGGACAGAAGGAGAAAGCAATGCCTGGGAAACATAGGAGTGGGGAAGTATTGACAACATGTCTGATAATGTTAATGGACTATTGATTTTTATTATCTTCAATAGTTGCAGTTAGAGAGAAATAATAATATTCCAGAGATGAAATACACTTAGCTGGGTTGGAATGAAGGTGGACTAAATTACTAAAAGGTTTTTACATTGCTCAAATGCATATCATATAAATATCAGAAATATTAACATTTGGCAGAACATCAAATGAATATGCATCACAGTCCAGGATCCTGACTATAGTATTATGGGAAGTAAGGAATTTGTTGCTCTTGAAAAAGCAAAGCTAAGTGATAAAGGTGGCCAGTCATTTTGTTCCCAATTTTAATTGATGGGATAAGAAAATGGTTCAGGATATAAATAAATTACATGTTTCTTATATACTTCATTTACGAAAAAGAAAGAATTAGAATAATAATTTCTGTCTCAAGCTATAAATGCAGAAGAACATTATATATTCATCTGGAACTTGTTTTGGAATCTAGAAATGAATATGTAATCACATGTTCTCCTGTGCTGCGGAGAAAGGGAAAAATCTTTTTTTTTATACCATCCCAAATTCTTGGCTGTTCCTAGAGCCATCTGGTTGCCATCTACATATATTCTGTTTTCATAGTGGGACTCGAATGACATGCCCCCAAAATATACTCTCTGAATTTAGGCATGTTATATTTATTCTTTAGAATCTTTAAGCAAAGAATACAACTGTTTCGTTTAGACTTAAAATGGTGTTAACACAAAATAAAAACAACCAATTAAGACATCTTAATAGTGGGGTTTTTCATCTATATTAATTAGTCAAGATTGGTTTGTCATTTTCTTTTCTTTACAAGGTTTGGTATCTGGGTTATGCTGGCCCTATTAAAGAAATTTGAAGTTCTCTCTCTCTCTTTCTCTTTATCTCTATCTCTCTTACCTTTTTTCCTATTCGCTGGCCATGTTTGTTAAGATTAGTGAAATAGTTTTCACAAATATTTTGTAGAATTCACTAGTGAAGCTCTCTGTGCCTAAAGCGTTTTCTATGTGGGAAAGTTTAAATCATGAAATCAAGTTTCTTTATCAGTAATAGAATTATTCATATTTTTATTTTTGTTGTTTCACTTCTATAAATTTTATTTTTTCAGAAATATTTTAATTTCATCTAAACCTTCAAATATTTTGGCATAAAGTTATTTGTAATGTCCTTTTGTGATCTCTTACATGCTTTCCATTTCCTTTTCCTCACACAAAATATTTAAAAGATGTGTACTTAATGGTTGAGATTGAACAAAACTCATAATATTCAGTGCTTCATCAAGAATATTCTTACTGGTATTTTTGTTACTGCAAATGCATAATTGTGATTATAATAACTACTGGCACAGTTTGTAGCCACTACTTTGACTCCTTCTATGGTACCCAGTTTTACCCACCAGTGCTTTTGCATCATCAGTGCAAAGGAAAAAGGCAAATCATATTTTAACATCATTTTAAAAATGATTTTGACCTCATGGACACCCAAAGGGTCCATAGATCACACTTTGAGAACTGCTGTTCTAATTCTGTCATTTCTTCTTTGTTTATTAGCTGAAATATTTCTGTAAAGGGAAACTTTCCCTCTTCAACTATTTGATTACACTGAAGTACAGTTCACATAGGAAAGGCAGGATAAGTTCTTGGTTCTTTGCCTTTATTTGGTGGTTTTCAAAAAATAATGAATTTGCTCCCTAGCATCCTACAAAAGGGACCAATAAATTTTATTATGTGTCATTATGAACTAATGGACTTAAATGTATTTGATAGGGCTCGATTCGTGGCAGTTATTAATCTTTTCAATGCTCAAATTATGCTAGCTTTGGTAAGGGGGTGGGGAGGCAGTGTCTGTTCAGGTTGGTTCCTGGGTCTGTGAGTGTGTGTATCTTGTTTTAAATCTTTTATTTTGAAATAATTATATATTCACACAAAGTTGCAAAAATGGTACAGAGAGGTTCCACGTGCTCTTCACCCAGTTTTCCCCAATGGTATTATCTTGAGTCTTTTCCACATCAGTCTTGGTAGTCTTTTGAGCACTTCTTGCTTTCTGGTATGACAAAATCTTCAGGTCATCTTGTGCATTTCCTGTCCCAGACCTGGAATCAGCCATTCTCCAAGGACCCTTCAAGTCTTCTTAGTGGGAGATGATATTTAGAGATATAATCTGTACAATCAGTGTGTTTATTGCTACAGGGTCAGTCAGTGTTTTTAGGTGTTTTCTGTTAGTGAGCTAAAGGATATCAATTTCTTAAAAAATGAAATACACCACAAGTTTATACTAATTTTTCTTTCTTTCTTTCTTTTTTTTCTGACCGGTAAGGTGATCATAACCCCTGGCTTGGTGTTGCCCATACCACGCTCAGCCAGTGAGCACACCGGCCATCCCTATACAGGATCTGAACCCGCGGCCTT